AAGACAATATGGGTTTAGGACCCAACAAACCACCTCAATGGCAATAATCAATGGAATAGAGCAAGTTTCTCCAACCTTTTTCTTCTGGAGAGTCACTTTCACAAAACTAAAATGTCAGAGAGCTACTAGTTTAAGCGGCCACAAGAAACTGAGCAAATATAAGAGCCACAACAAGTTTTAGATAGGGCACAGTTAGAGTTATACATGTACAATGGTAACAGGCATTTAATTGGTCACATTTGACTTATTCAGCACATATAATTCAGAAATCCTTTGGAGGAGGGAATCACAAATGCACTAGATGACAATAAATATGCTGCCGGTATTTTTATTAACCTTAAGAAAGCCTTTGATACTATCATTCAATATTACTACATAGGGGTGTAACGATATCCAAGTCTCACGATACGATATTTATTGGGATATTTTGTGGAGGCTAACAAAACTGTGAATATGCTACTTTTTCCTCTTAAAATGCCTTGACAAGACTTAATCTAAAGAACTAAGTCCTGAAAGTGCTTAGAAATGTTGTATCTTCATGTAGTCTGCACTGAAATGGAGCAAAGGATCATGGTCTATGTAGTTCTCTGTCTCTTTTTTTTTTTTAGCTATTGCTGCACCGTAACTCTTAATTTAAGCAAAGAGACTTGTGATGGTCTACGATTTTATTGTGAGAACTTTGACGATACGATATCACGATATTTCGGTTATTGTTACATCCCTATTACATAAACTGAAAACAATATGGTTTTAGAGGGGTAGCTGGGAACTGATTGAAAAGTTATCTTACAGAAAGGGTGCAATCTGTTCAAATTAGGGATGGGCATTCGATTAAATTTTCTTCATCGATCGTCGGAAGAATTAACGATCGATTATCCATTAATCATTAACGTTTTATATTAAAATGATCATCATTATTATTACTATCTGCACTACTAACCTGCATAAATAAATTCAACTTTACGACATATAAACCGTAACGATTCTAGAGCCACATCAGCCCGTTTGACATTATAATTGTGTTTAATTCAGTTTTGCGCAACTCTCACAGAAACGAAACTTAAAACCTCATCGCTAATTTGTATAAAACTCAGCGAAGATAAAAACTAAAGCTCTTGTGTCGCTGATGTGGTCAACTTCTGTTGGATTAAAAGACATGACTCAGTGGAATACAGGTTAGTGTGACCAGATTTGCGTTTGTCAAAACCAGGACACCGTACGGGGGGAGGGAGGTGGAGACTCGTCATCGACATTGCGCGACTCTCACCTGGTAAAACTTTTTCCCACTGGACACAGAAACATATGTGCTGCTTTGTTCACTGTGCACATGGACTCACACTTGTCCCGAACGCAACGGAAAGCGTGGAATTTCTTGTACAAGTCATCGTTAAATACACATTTGTGCTTCGGTACGTTGCAGACTGACCGACTGTTTGTGTCTCGCTCCTTCTGAGTGCAGAGAGACACATGTACAGACCCTGTTTGGTCACACTACACACAGCAACCTACATTCGGTTTGTCAATTAAAATTAACGTAATCGATGAAATTCTTAATGATCAATTATCGATTAATCGATTAATCATGCACATCCCTAGTTCAAATACTTAAAAACATACATCAAAAAAAAACCTTGGCATTGTTTGTGGGGTCCCCCAGGGGTCTGTTTTAGGACCAAAACTGTTTATTTATTTACTGTATCAATAAGTAATCAGTAAGTTTAATAATATGTTTAATGCCATACTGTGGAACTTTCCAGTGATTCATGTTTAATAATAGAAAGGGTACTGGCAAAAAATAAGCAGTATTGAATGAAAGACCAGGTATTGTTCTGCTCAAATACTACTCAAATAGTATCCAGCCCTACAAAGAAATTTCTAGCCTTCAGACATAATTAGATTTTTTGGTTAAGAACTGCACTTTTTTTTACATAAAAGCTGATCAAAAGTTAGAGTTTGGTTAGTATAATAAAAACTTGAGAACTACAGCCTAAAATTATTTGAATGATTGAGTCTAACTTTTGTGGAATGTTTAAATTTTTAACAATAAAGGTGATTTATTACACAAATGGATTCTTGAGAGTTTTAACTTTCCCATGATTCGATACGCATCTTGATACACGGGTCATGATATCGATTCAATTTTGATACATTTTAAGACGCAAAAAAAAAAAATCTGATGTATTTTTTTATGCTAATGAATATAATTTAATAACACTATGATATTAATGAAACAATACAATATTACGGTACAACTACTATACAATTGTAGTTTATATGTGAAGGGTTTTAGTTCATTTGGTTCAATGATTTACAACACTGAAATTTTTATTCAGTGAAAATTCAAGAAAATGTTCAAGCATAAAATAACTATGTGACTAAGGAAAATGTTTTAAGTTAATGAAAAGCACAAGTGAGATTTTGTAACGTGTGGGGCTTATTGATCGGTGACTTGTTTTAATCTTTGGGGTGCGGGAATGATTATTAAAGAAATGTTTAATTTTTTTGATCTGTGAAAGGAGCAGGGTTTATAAGATTGATCTTTTTCCTGTTCCTTTTGTTCATGCAGCAAAGACAAGGCAAATAATGGTAGAAATATGTGTTTATTTATGTTAATTGTCAGATTTGTTGTTGTTGTCTTTAAATTGATGCCAACAAAATAACAGCACGAGCAATAAATAAATACATAACCATTTCTCTTTTATAAAATAAGAACGGAGCTTTCTCAGGCTGTTTTATATTTTATAATATACCCGTCTGCTCTTAATATAGACTGTAGGGGAGCTGCACTATCAGACTTTTCCTTCTTTGATGATGATTTGATGATTTCTTTTTTCCTCTTGCGTCTCTGTCCGCGCTGCTCTGTCTCCAGCAGCTCCTCCCACACTGCCCCCTACAGTCTGTGCTCTTACACTTCTTTCTGGACACTAGAACTGTGTTATATTACATAGAAATATCTTTAAAAAAAAGTTTTCTGAGTAAAACTTATAAAATAATCTGAGAAAAAGATCTGATCTGTTGAGTTGTGAGTCGTGTCGTGTGTGTATATGACCACATTTGATTAAAGCTGATGTAAAGCCAAAAGCGATTCTAAAGTATTTAAAAGTTCATATCTTTGTCTATCAGTGCGAAATAAAAAGTGTCTGAAAGATAAAATGTTAGAATATATTAGCTGTGTGTCCCTATGGAGCTGTTTTCTTGCTGCATCTGAGAAGGACGCTGTAATAACTGTTTTCATTTTGGACCAAAATAAATGACAACACAGCGCGCATGGTATCGCTGTACACGTGTATCGAATGAATACGTGACACTGGTATCGAACGATTCAATATTATATCGAATATTGTTGCCTCCCTAGTTTTAACACAGTGGAGCACTTTTTCTTTTACCACATATTACCGCCTAAATATGCAGGATTTTTGTGTTAAACATGTATGAACAGTGTTGGGGAGTAACAGATTACATGTACCTGAGTTATGTAATCAGAGTACAAATTATGAGTAACTGTATTCAGTTACAGTTACTGTTTCCATAAGAGGTAATTGGATTACAGTTACTTTGTTGAAATAAATGGATTACACAGAGGTATTTTCCTGTTTTCAAAGGGCTATATCCCCTTTTTGTTTGTGTTTGGTAATTCCACTCATCGGACACTAAACCAGGTCTAAACCAGGGCTAAAACCAGGTGTAAACCAGGTCTAAAACCAGGACTAAACCAGGACTAAAACCAGGGTCTAAACCAGGTCTAAACCAGGACTAAACCAGGTCTAAACCCAGGTCTAAAAACCAGGTCTAAACCAGGAACTAAAACCAGGTCTAAACCAGGTCTAAACCAGGACTAAACCAGGACTAAAACCAGGTCTAAACCAGGTCTAAACCAGGTCTAAACCAGGAAACCGGACTAAACCAGGACTAAAACCAAAACCAGGTCTAAACCAGGGCTAAAACCAGGTCTAAACCAGGACTAAAACCAGGTCTAAACCAGGTCTAAACCAGGACTAAACCAGGACTAAACCAGGAAAACCAGGTAAAACCAAGGTCTAAAACCAGGTCTAAACCAGGAAACTAAACCAGGACTAAACCAGGCTAAACCAGGTCTAAACCAGGTCTAAACCAGGTCTAAAACCAGGTCTAAACCAGGTCTAAACCAGGACTCTAAAACCAGGTCTAAACCAGGTCTAAACCAGGTCTAAACCAGGACTCTAAAAACTAAACAGGTCTAAACCAGGTCTAAACCAGGACTAAACCAGGTCCCAAAAACCCTAAACCAGGTCTAAACCAGGACTAAAACCAGGAAAACCAGGTCTAAAACCAGGTCTAAACCAGGTCTAAACCAGGTAAAACCAGGTCTAAACCAGGACTAAAACCAGGTCTAAACCAGGGCTAAACCAGGTAAACCAGGTAAAACCAGGTCTAAACCAGGTCTAAACCAGGTCTAAACCAGGACTAAAACCAGGTCTAAAGCAGGTCTAAAACCAGGTCTAAACCAGGACTAAACCAGGTATAAACTAGATCTAAAACAGGTCTAAAACAGAACTAAAACAGACTTTAACAGGGCTAAACCATGCCGTGCGGACCGTGTCTCCTCCTCCTCTTCAATCAATCATATTTTTAATATGGTTAAGTAAAGTCTGGGCTTTTTATTGTTTTTTAGCAGATAAAACATCTTATGTGAAGATATCTGAGTCTTTGCTACTTTCCAAAGTATTCCAAAGTATTCAGATTACATTACTCACTTTAAGTAATTTAATGGATTATGTTACAAACTACATTTTGGGGTGTGTAATCTGTAATCTGTAGGGGAATATGTTTTAAAAGTCACCTTCCCAACACTGTGTATGAATGAAATAAAACACAACTACAGGTTTGTTTTTAAGAAGGAAACCACATTATAACAGATAAGAAAATAGTGTAACATGGGCTTCCTGTTCTAAAATTTGACCTCTTGACATCTTCTTCATACATTTGTCGTCTAAATTTTCATTTGTCTCTCCCTTGTGCAGAGCCTCTTGACGGGGCTGATGTACTACCGACCGGAGGACCCCATCGAGTACCTGGAGTCATGCCTGAAGAAGGTGCGCGAGCTCGGGGGCACGGAGAAGGTGCGCTGGGACACGTTCGTGGGGCAGGAGAAGAAGTCCCTCCCCCCTCTCAACGGAGGACAGTCCAGACGGTCGCTCTTCAGAAACGGTAAGGATCAAATCAAATAATCTTACACATGACCAGGTAACACATCAAAAGAAACAACAGTATTTCACAGATTTTAATTAAACTCTGCTAGGACATTTGGTAAATTTAGAAGGCACCAAATGACAAAAAAAAAGATGAGAAAATAAATGAATTTCAAGCTTCATCAAGAGTCACTCCAGAATTCCAGGTTATGCCATCCTTGTCCATGAGAATGTGGATAAATGCTCCATTAGTCTGCACAGGCCGGTTATTCCTGTGTTTGTTCTCTTAAACAAATCAGGTAGTGGCTCCGATGCAAATCTGTCCTGTTTTTGCATGAACACTGCGTCAGTCATTTGCATTGGGCAAATATGTCGCCAATAAAACAGACGTGCATTCATGACACCTCTGAGCTTTCTGTTTGGTCCCTGCCAGGCTCCCATCAGCTCTTAAAAAGTGAAACTCATTACTGATATCATGAATTGCTACTTTGCAGTGACATCACGCTGGGGGTGTTTTACATGTGTGTTTATAAGCTCTATTCACGCTTGCGTCACAAACCAGGAAGACATTTGCAAAGATGCTATTACAACTTCACAGGCCCAGTTTTCTTCATCTACACTCAGAGGCATTAAAAACGCAACAATGTTAAATGCCAAATTATTTTGAATAAAAAAACTTTGTACATGAAAACTGTTTTGTTTTGGGTTATGAAACAATGGAGCCACACCTTTCAGCCCAAAGAACAAAATAACGTGCGGGACGGTGCCAATCCCTACTTTTCAACGTGTGAGTCGTAAGGACATTGTTTGAAAACTTTCGATGATTTGAGCTCAGCTGGTGAAGGCTTTAAAAACCTGGAGGAAAAATGAAAGATGTCACACACGGTCATCATGCCACGTTTAGCAGCAATCGAGAGAGAGCAGGCCATCGGTGCCAACTTTAACGTCCGCATATCGCACGCATCTGTCAGGAGTGTCTGGCTGAAAACAACGTGTAGGTTACGGACTGGCCGCCTTATTCTCCAGATATGAATCCGATAGAACACCTCTGGGACAATCTGGATCGCCGTGTGCGCCGTCGTATCCCACTTCCAGCAACTGTTGGAAGAGTGGGACGCGATTCCGGTGGCCGAAATCAACGCGCTTATTACTTCTCTGCCACGACGAGTGCAAGCGTTATTGGATGCAAACGGTGGACGCACAAGATATTGACATTTGTTATCTGTGGCTGAATTTTTCTTTAGTTTTTTTCGATTGCCTTTTCTACTGTTGTTTTTGTCCTTTCATGTTCAATATCATTCAAATTTGCAACACCGAATTCATTATTAAATTGAGAAATAATATCGAAAAAATTTGAATGTTGCGTTTTTAATGCCTCTTAATGTACATGTCATCGTAGCGTTCCATCATGTTCGGCTCATCAACAGTTACAACTAGGGATGGGCATTCAATTCAATTTTCTTAATCGATCATCGGGAGAATTAATGATTGATTATTGATTAATTATTAAAGTTTTTTTTATATTAAAATGATCATAATTATTATCACTATCTGCTCTACTAATCTGCATAAATAATTCAACTTGATGACATATAAACCGTCACCACTCTAGAGCCACATCAGCCCGTTTGACATTATTATGTGTTTAATTCAGCTTTGTGCAAGTCTCACAAAAACAAAACTTAAAACCGCATCGCTAATTTGCATAAACTAAGCGAAGGAAAAAAAAAAACAGCTCTTGTGTCGCTGATGCAGCACAATAATGGAATACAGGTTAGTGTGACCATATTTGCGTTTGTCAAAACCAGGACACCGTAATGTACCCGTAGTGGGAGATGGGACTCGTCATCGACATTGCGCGACTCTCACCTGGTAAAGCTTTTTCCCACTGGACACCGAAACATATATGTGCTGCTTTGTTCACTGTGCACATGGACTCACACTTGTCCCGAACGCAACGGAAAGCGTGGAATTTCTTGTACAAGTCGTCGTTAAATACACATTTGTGCTTCGGTACGTTGATGCAGACTGACCTACTGTTTGTGTCTCGCTCCTTCTGAGTGCAGAGAGACACATGTACGGACCTGTTTGGTCACACTACGCAACGCACAGCAATCTACATTCGGTTTGTCGATTAAAATGAACGTAATCGATGAAATCGATAATGATCTTAATGATCAGTTATCGATGAATCGACTAATCATGCCCATCCCTCCTGTGTACATGCAGTCAGAAGAGATGAGTCACCAAATTCAAGATGATTCCAAACAGCACACATACGTCTGCAGTTTCCATTTTACCACTGATCACATTTACTTCAATGGGTTCACAGTCGGTTTTAATAAATCCGTGTTAGGCGAGCCCATTGTCAGCAGGCTCGCACTGGCAATCTGTAAATGCCCCACTAACCCCCCCAAAAAAGTTTCATAATATATTGTGACGTTCAATGCGTGTAGAATTTTGTGGAAAGAGGATCGTATTTCAGCTTTATTCAATATTGATGCGATGCCACATACAAGGACATTTATCTGTCTATAAATTGGACTAAATGGACATAATATAGAGAGTTTAAACTTGATAGGGAAATGTAACATGCCCACGTGGACTATTGGCCCTAAGAGAAAAAATATAAATGGTGATAATAAATTCTAAATAAATAGCAAAAAAATAGCAGACTGGTGTCAAATAAGGCATAATTATATAAATGTATATGTACAAGTAAAAACAAATATTGAAATATAGTAATACAAATATATCTCAGCTATGTATATACAAGAGGTCGTAAGGTAAACTATCTGTTACGTAAGGGTGAGTTGTGGTCTGGAGGATGGTATAAATGTAGTCCTGTGTCTTAATTAATTTAATGTCCAGTTCTTTGTGTCTCCTCAGTGATGCCGGAGAGCCCCAACTTCCCGTACAGACGCTACGACAGACTGCCTCCCATAAACCAGTTCTCCATCGAGAGCGACTCCGACCTGTCTGAAACGGCGGAGCTCATCGAGGAGTACGAGGAGTACGAGGTGTTCGACCCCTCCCGCCCTCGGCCCAAAGTCATCCTCGTTATCGGTAAGATCCGTAAAGGCGCGTGCGGGAGGTCGGGACAGTTTGCTCAAATACGTGGGATAAAAATCAGGTACAGGTCCTTCAGAGAGACAAGCTGGTGGTTACACTGTGTGCTTAAACCCACTCCAAATCCAAAAGCTTGACTTAAAGTGCGACTGAACCACATTCAGACACAGATGGGAAACTGGGCAGTACCTGGAGGTCTAAAGGGGAGAGTGAGGGCGGAGGAGGAGTGTAGTCTGGATATATAAGTACAGTGTGACTGGGCTAACGCAGGGGTCACAGAACTTTATACGAGTGAGGTAGACCTGTCGCAAAAACATATTTTGAAGTGCGATGTATTGCTGAACTAAATATAGATGACATACCAAACCATAAAAAAACAATTATTCACAAAAAGGATTCTAAATGTACAGCTGCTATAAATAAATGGCAAATGGACACTTCGATTTTCCTCAGCTTAAATCTTATCATATTGCAGGAAAAGTAATGAAAAATTCCTACTTAAAAAAAAGTACTCACAATAAAAACTGACTCCCAAAAATGATTGTTCCATCTGTCATACGGAATAAATAGTTTTTATTGTGACGGGCCTAGAGTGAAATGTTACTGACTGCAGGAGAATAATGTGAATCATTCAAAATGTTGCATTTGACATTGGTTTGACTGAGCTACAACACCTTTAATAAAACTTGGAACATTTATGCTATTTATGTTATAACAGCAGACAACATTTTCAAAATCTGCAGTAAAAAGTAGCACTTTTGGTCATTTGGGTCAATGGAGCAGTAAGCCTGAGGGCCAACAAAAATGCCCACATCTTGCTCCTGGGCCATGGTTTGGACCAGCCGGACTGGCCCCACCTAGTGCCTCTGCTCAATTTAATTTCTCTCCAGCGACTAGGTCAGGAATCGGAATACACTAGACAGTTCGTAAAAACCCCGGAAGTGCGAGTTTGGGCACCAGCTAAATAGCGAAGAGTCATATAGGCGAGTTTCAGCTGACGTCATTGTTATTAAAAGCCCGCGTTGCATGCTGGGAAATATTTTGGTCGGAGGCAAGAAACAGGATAGCGTTCAAACACAGTTCGTAACCTCGCGTATTTATCCCCGATAATGGTAAATTCCTGCCTCATTATCGGATGCACAAATAGAAGCAGGAAAATGTCTTTTTCGTATTCTGAGTGAAAAGAACCGCTAACGGTGAATTAAACGGCTTTCAAACATTCGCAGAGCAAACGTAGAAGATCCTAACAAACCGTGGACTCCAACAAGTTCAACAACACATCGAGACTCTTGGAGGTTTTCATCTTTTCTGCTGTGAATGGCCCAGGAGTTTCCACCAAGTCATTGTGGATATCACGCCGAAGTGAATATTTGTCCAGGTAGTTGGTGATTCCGACCAGAAATTTGGTTTGGTCCAGGCTTTGTCGGGGTTGAAAAGGGTGATTTGGCTCCGTCGATGCTTATGACCAATTTCTGGTCAAATCATCTTCGGTCCTCTGCCGTTAGAGTGGATAAATAACCGGGATCAATACCCTTTACGTGCTTTCTCGCTCCGTCCGTCATGTTGAATTAGTGTTTATTGCCGCCGACCAAAATAATTCCCAGCATGCAACGCACGCTTTTGTCAACAATGAAACTTGCCTATATTCTGTGCTGGCAACGATTCCCGAGATCGAGGAATTGAAGCTGGAACAAAGAGAATGTTTGGTGAATTTTATCAAGGGGAAAGACGTTATTGTCCTTCTTCCTACGGGATTTGGGAAAAGCTTAATATACGAGTTATCCCCCGTTAGTGGCGCATTACATACGTCACAACCAAATAGCAGCGATTGGTTAAATTTAAAAAAAGTACCCGCCTACCGTCAAGTGAACAAATCCTAACGCTGTGAGGTCAGACGGTTTCCACGAAGTGAAACCGGCTGATGAACCAGGCTCGGTTTGGACACCTCTGGTCTAACAGATATCCATCCACACTCCAAACTCTGCCCCTGTAGCCAAGTGTTATAATCAGAAACACTAGATTGTAATCAGGGCAGTCATGTGTGATGGGATCAATACTTCATGTTCAAGTGGCCACTGGTGAAGTCGAGAACCTGGTTTGCATTAAGATGACCAAAAAAGCAGTAGATCAGCACAGTAGATAATACTATTAAAACACCATATGCACACTTAAAGGTTGTATAGAGGATTTTTTTTAAGGGAAGAGAAATACAGCGACAGTCCTTGTGCGCGTTCAGAATTAGTGTTGAAGCGACTTGTTTAGAAGTAATTCAGCGACCGACGCGTCAGTTTTTAGACCCTTCGTCTGCTTCGGTCGCGCCATCGCTGGACGAGATCTCCAAGAATCACCTCAGTTTGGCTTTGCTCCTTTTCCCCCTTCTCTTCTTCTTTCAGTGACCTCAAAAAACTGACTTTCTTTTTGGGCGAACCGATCGTGGATTCTCGTCCGCCGTCACGACAAACTTTGTGTGAAATGCGAGGAAGCGACAGTTCGAAAAAGCCTCTAAGAACCGCTGCGTAAACCACGTAATCCCCGCGCTCCGACAAGTCAGTTATACTAGGGAGTTTGATTGACAACTCAACAGCCAATAGAAAATGAGGGAGCCTCGTTTTCTATTGGCTGATGTTTATCTGGCCTCAACACACGTCCACAGTTGATAGATTTTCTTTTTTTTTTTTTTTTGGTCATCATAATTACAAAGCTGCTGCGTCTCTGTAATGGTATTTTAATCTTTCACTGACAGTTTGAAACAAAAAAAAATCCTCCATACAACCTTTAAGTTGCAAAAATCTATAAACCCACATTATTTTATTTTCCGTTTTTGCATTTCCCAAATAGTCTTACTCACACAATTAGACTGAGTATCTTCCTTTAGTGTTCTGTTCATCCCATAGTCCCTTTTTTAATTACATTTTGTTCTTACTGTCCCCACTGTCCCCATGCGATTATGACACTAAAACCTATGTTCCTGTTACGTAACCTCTATAGCATTAAGGCTCCATCCAAGTGTAAACACGACACGTCCACGCTTCACTGAGCTCTGACCATTTACATAGAAAGGACACAAAAGCAGCGTCTGGATGTACAGAGAGGAACCCTGCACACAAAGATATAGGAGTTACATCATTTTAACATAGTATATGGCTCCACTTTATATAGCAAGACCTTAATTAACCTTAGTAAATGTCATGATCATTACTATATTGACTTATTGTTCTGTATATGATTGAACAATATTCTTTTGTGTGTACTTTTTCTTTGCACTACAGTATAATTACCTGGTCCCCGAAGGGTTGACCAGGTTTTGTGTTCACCCTGTGCGTCTGTGTTCCCCCATTTATGGACCACTGTCACCATATTTGGTACGTGGGTCAAGCCCTTGTGCCAGATGCCACAAAAAAAAGTCTGAGGTCATTTGAGGTCACACGGGTCAATTGAAAGGTGACACCATTATAAAGGATCGGCAATTTCGGCGATTTCTGAACCATCTGTGGGCTAAAATATTCACCCAATCATCACACAAGTTGACACACACATAACCGGGGCACACTGGATGTTACAGGTTGAAACCGGTCAAGGTCACTTGAAGGTCAAGGTAACCAAGGTCAAATATGCATTTTTGGTCATAACTCCGCAAAAAGATGGAGCTAGAGCAAATGGGAGTGTCTCAAAATCTCAGAAAAATTATTATCTATTTTATAATTCTATGCATTTGTGTAGTAAAATATTAATAGTTTTTCGAGATAATCACAAATTATTATAACAGTTCATTTCTCTTTCAGTGTGTGCCGTTAAAATTCTAATTGGAACGAAAATCATTTCCATTTTTTGTTTTTTCTGGTGACACACAACACACTGATCTACAGTCACACAACTAACAGATACAGAACTCATGAAAAATGACATTTTAAACACAGATATTCTCATGTGTGACCAATATCACACACATGTTCATGGGCCTGTACAGATACACACATTGTATTGTGGATATAACGATCATTTAATATGGGCTGAGCTCCTCATAAACTGCTTCTGTGGTGATGAACTGACCCACCGATGCCTCATGGGGGACCAGGTTGATATCTCTGATTGTGCTTGTTTTGGGCTATTTTTGGTTATATGATAAGATTTGTGCAGTAAAAGGTTGAATGAATCACTTCTATAGCTCATTACAGATGCAAACTAATAAAGTTTCATTCTGTTGTTTATTTATTGCAGCTCATCTTTTTAACAATCATGTAGATTTAGAAGAGTTTTTGTGGTTTAAATCTGCTTTAGGATTGTTATGTCAGTGCCATAAACTAGTTTCAATATTGTTGCTTATCGTCTCTATTTACTTTTGCAATATATCACACTTCAAAACGTGTGATTGTGACAGGCCTTGCAGAGCAGAGTTTTGTCGTCATAGTAATGCTGACAACAGCGAGCACAGTGTCTCTGTGGCTTGGGGCTCGGTGGATGAATGGCACAAACACTCGCGCCTCTTAGCAAGAAGGTGGAGGGGATTTAATGCTTTGTGTCTGATGTTTTCCTCTCGTGCACCACAGGTACAATCCTGCGCTTAAAGTAATCCTGACCAATAGCTCAAGATCTGGAGATGGGCCCCAGTAAAACGTACCTGACCTTACTACCATGCTAATGTGCACTTCCTGCTTATCAAACAATACATTTGATTAGAGGTGTACATAAAAATCACGGTTCGATACGTACCTCGGTTTTGAGTTCACGGTTCGGTTAATTTTCGGTACAGTATGGGAACAAAATGCAAAATCATTTGCTTGTTGTTTGTGTTTTTATTAAACCAACAATTACTTTTAACATTATAGAAATGGGAAAATTAAGTAGGTAGGAGTAGCAGAGATTCCATGAAAGTGAGGACCGTGGCACGACGACCATAGTTTTGCGATTATTCATGTGGTCATGTCAAGACGGCCGCCCTAACTATAAAGCGCGACAGAAAACACTGTCACCCCAATCACAGATGAGTTCCCTCATGAATTATAAAGAGCCGAGCCATCTGTGTAGCTGCACATGTAGTGGAGAAATGTAAACACACAAATTGCGTGAACTCACTCGTGCACAGTCCTGCACCGAACTGAATGTCCCATACTGAAACGGTTCACATGAAAACATCTAC